CGCTACCACTACCACTGCCACTGCGACTGCCACTGCTACCTGCTACTGCTACAGTAGTGCTAGTGCTAGTGCTATTGCTAGTGCTAGTGCTATTGCTATTGCTAACACAATGCTACTGCTGCTGCTACTGCCACTGCTATTGCTATTGCTACTGCTGCTACTGCTACTGCTACTGCTACTGCCACTGCTACTACTACTACTACTACTACTTCTACTAATACGACGAGGACGACGACGACGACTGCGACTGCAGTGCAGAGTCCGGGGGGTGAAGGTGGGGACGTGACTGTGCCTCAGGACCGTGCCGACAGCGCTCTGCCGCGAGGGTGTGTCATCGTGGCAGCATGTATGTAATGGTTTGGGTCGGTTCGCCAACTGGTGGGGTTGCCTGGCGGCTTGGGTTGCTCGGGTTGGAGGGTGGGGACGGGGTCCAGTTGGTCGGGTCAGTCGGGTCGGTCCGGGGTCGGGCCGGTCGGGTCAGGTTGGTCGGGTGGGGGCTTGTTGGTCGGCTGGGGTCGGGTTGGTCGGGTGGGGTTGGTCGGGTGGGTTGGTCGGGTTGGGTTGGTTGGGGTGTGTGGGGTTGGCACGGTCGAGTTGGTTGGGCGGTGGTCGGGTCGCCGGGGATCGGGCGGGTGGGTGGGGTTGGTCGGGTCGGGTGGGTCAGGTCGAGTCGGGTCGGGTCCTGTCGGTCGGGTCGGTCGGATGGGGTCGGGTCGGTCCCTGTTGGAGGTGCCACCTATTGTGGTCTCCGATTAAAATAAACCGATCTGGTCTCGAGTCTGATCGCCCGATTCGCACCTGATTCGCCCGTCCTGGTCTCCGATCCCGGTCCCTGATTCGACCTTCACCGGACCTTCACCCGTTTTAAGCGTGCAGGATCGGCAACTCGCTGATCGAGGTCCGACAGGGGCCTGCAATTACTGCAGAAGACGAGGCAGGATCTCTTGCGTTGGACACAGCTGCCGAAAGTCGGAGCTTTACCGTCGCTTATCAAGTTGGTACGTAGACCCAAACAGTTCCCATTGAAGAACTTTCTGGCATCCGGCCGATAAAGGCCGATAAAGCGAAGTAATATGATGGAAGGTCGAGCAGTGGCTTGCCGCCTATCAGCTGGCGCCTGAAAGACACTGCAGATGGTAGTTTATTGCAGACCGTGGTGCAGTTGCTTCACAAAATCACAAGTCAAAGGTCAGCTTCTGAAATTGAAAGATGTCACTGGATCTGCATGAAAACATTGTTCGTATGCCACTATTTCCAACACATTCGCAGTATTTGAGGCTGCAGAAGTATGCCACAGCCTCGGACTATTGCGACGTGCATACGGGTTCTGGCAGCATACATTGAAACATCGACGCTGACTATTCTTGGGACTTCCAGAAACCTCTCGCTTCCTTGTTCGATTCGTGCTTTGTGGCACGCAAGCATGGGTTGGTAACGAAAGTATCTAAACAAGATTGTCACGCTAAAGGCAGCCCTACTGAGAGAAAAGGGCTTCAAGAGCCTGGAAGAGGTGCGCCCGCGAATGCAGTGGGATGCTGCTTTTGGCTGTCGCAATACGGTTACCATACAATACAGCAAGCACACCTTTGTGAACGAACCGAGGCTCGCACCGATTGCATCATTTGTAGAGAATGACAGACATGTAAGTGTTTTGAATGCAGACAGACGCTCTGTTCTTCATAAGAGCCTGTGAGTAGGTAGTCGGTAGTCTTGTAGTTTCACGGCACACCACGATCATGAAGCTCACAGGCTGTGCAACAAGGAACCATGATGTGCTGCAGAAGCGGAACAAGCCGTTTGGGACAGTATTGTAGAGTGGAACTACAGCGTTCTACTGCAAGGCGAAGTCCATCGTCACTGCAGTTGGCCATAATACTCATGCTGCTTGATTTGGTGTTGGGTGTCTTTCGGACAAGAGTGGGCAAAGTACCAGAATCGGGTTGTGAGCGCAACCGTAGTAGCAATAGTACTTGTAGTCGCTGTCGTCGTCGTCTTTGTAGTGGTTTTCGTCTACCTCTTTTGTGTTCCCCCACCCCCTCGCCGGGGTTGTTTCCCAGAACAACAACCCCCCTCCCCCCCAACCCCTCCCTTTCGAAGGGGTCTCAACATTTTCGGGAATACGAAGCTATGGCTTCGCCTTTAGTTGAAGGGTCAGAACCAAACCGTGAAAGTCATTCTTCCGCTTTGCTGCCATACTGCCATGTTGCAAGTCTGGTATGCCGCCATTGAGTCCTTGGATCTTGCTGAATTCCTTGCGACCCAAGATAATCCGTGCTTGGAAGCTTATGAGGGAAGAGCCGGTGACAGTTGCAGTTGGAGATCTGAAGGCTGCAAAACCTTTCAATCAGCATAAGATGCATATTATGCATCTTCCGTCGTCCGCTCAAGGCTTAGACAGTGAGCGGCTTTGGCTTGCCAGGTCCAGGCGCGTCTCCTGGAGGAGATTCCGTCGCTTGCCCCTCAGGGCGAGGGCGTTACGGGTCGAAGTGGTCGAGTTGCTTGTCAGCGTGTTTCAGTCTGAGCCTCTGACCCCACACCTGCCGCAAGTGTGTAGGTACCTTGCACCGAAACCGTCCTTGCACCCAAATACGTCTGCTAGTCAAGCGTCAGTTCATACTTCTGCTGGGTTCCTGAAGCCCGGCAGTGCATCTCCCCNNCCCCCCCCCCCCCCCCCCCAGCGTTTCTTTCCCCCTCTCTCTTGATCCCTGGCCTTCAGAGCTGTCATGTCCATGGGTTGCCACGTCGGATTTGTGATGCTGCTTGCTGAGAAGTCAGGCATTGGTGGGCCCCAGACCAGGAGCCCAAAAAACAAAGCTCTTAGACATAATCCCTACCATTTTAGATCACAGACCTGAGGCTTGTTTAATCATAATTTATTCATAGTCAGGGGTCTGGGTAAGTCCTTTGCGGGTGGTACCAAGCGATGCCCTGTGCTCCGTCCACTTCCGAGGATGCTAAGCACGGATCTCCCTAACGAGGACTACCAGGTACTGGAGTCTGCTGCAAAAGAAATAGACAGGACAGGTCGGGCAGGTGTTTCTGGTTGAAAAGGGATCTTCAGCTTTCGTTTTCGGAGGAAGTCTCCAAGCCTGAAGTTCGAGTTTTTGAAACGGGCCCCCGCTCCAACTGGCAGGATGTGGCCAAGCGAGTCCTACCCTGCACATTCGTTGGAGCCGCTTGGTTGCAGGATCGGGCTCAGAGAGTGAATTGTTAGGACGAGTAGATGCAAGCAATGCAAGCACTTCTTCAGCTTGGGCCCTCGAGATGCGAGAGATGCGGGTTGCAGGAAATCAGGACTGCAGTCGCTCTTGATGCCTTTCATCCAAGGGCTTTCGCATGGTGTTGCTAAGCCCAGTGCTTCATCCTCGCCGCTGAGGTTTTACATTCGTCCGGCGGAGGGGGCCACTCCGACTTCGGGGATCACCCCGCCGGAAGGCGATTCTTGGTTGGCCTCGTCGGTTCACACAAAGTCAGACTTGGACATATATGCATATAGAAACCATTTTAGTTTATGTTATATTGTACCATATAATGTATCAGATTGTGTTTTGTTGCATTCTATTCTATTGTATTGTATTATANNTATAATTTACTATACTATACTATACTATACTATACTATACTATACTATACCATACTATACTATACTATACTATACTATACTATACTTTACTATACTATATTTTATTGCATTGTATGGTATATTAGATTATATTTTAATGCATTATATTATACCAGAATGTATTTAAATGCATTTCATTATATTCTGTTAAACTATATTATATGATGTTATCTTATGTAATATTATGTTATATGACGTTATACTCTGCTATTTTTACTATGTAATGTTATATCACATTATGCTATGCTATGTTATGTTATGTTATGCTATGCTATGTTATGTTATGTTATGTTATGTTATGTTTTGTTATGTTATGTTATGTTATGTTATGTTATGTTATGTTATGTTATGTTTGTTTATGTTATGTTATGTTATGTTATGTTAGGTTATGTTAGGTTAGGTTAGGTTAGGTTAGGTTAGGTTAGGTTAGGTTATGTTATGTTATGTTATGTTATGTTACGTTACGTTACGTTATGTTATGTTATGTTATGTTATGTTATGTTATGTTATGTTATGTTATGTTATGTTATGTTATGTTGTGTTGTGTTGTGTTGTGTTGTGTTGTGTTGTGTT